CTAGAAGAGAGACACCTTTCAGCTGGTACTTCCTTTTTATTAGAATTACTTTCATTTGGGTCGGAGAAGAGAGGGTGGCAGTTGCTCCTAGACTACTATTCCTCCTCCTGTGTGCTGCTTTCCTTTACCACAGCGGAACTGCTGGCTCTGAGACACAACTAGGGAATGGGGCTTGGCCAGAAAGAGCTAAGAAAGAAAAGACCAAGTAACAGCTCTGTCATAAATCAATTTCAACTGAGTTTCAATTATTCATTCAGTTATTCACTGGGGTGTTCCAGCACTAAAACTTGCATGCTCATGAAGGGGGATTACAACGCACATCTCTCATTTTTGAAGTTTAGTGAACTCACAGCAACATCTTCCTTATCACAGATACCAGGTAACCTTCCAAAATGTATGATCCTGCCATCTGAGAAAATAAATCTCAGTGTTGTTGGAGTAGATGCAGACACATGCTAAATTTACATGCTATACCTCTCTTCCAGACTTATTTCCCAATATTTTGAAAGAGAGAAACAGTTTGCGTATTAGAGTAGAAGACAGCATAGCATCATGAGTACCAAACATCTTTGACAAAGTACTAGCTGTGCTACATGCCACAGAAAAGGCAAATTAAAAGCTTTGAGTTTTTCTTCATTCTTAGCTGAAAAGATGCTTCAGATGCTTACAGAAATAACTGAGACCAGAATTGTTAGAGCAAATGTTTCTAAACTCCCCATGTTCTAATTTTCTTTCTTAGCACTTGACAAGGTCAGGTCCACTGAATTTTACAGTGCATATGATTTATAAAGAACTTTTTCCCTCAACTTCTAGGATCAGTTATGCCTCAGTATTGAAAATAATCTCAAACCAAAGGGATTGGTTTCCTTTACATTATTAGTCTATTCAGGCCTTAATTTCTCAGTAATAATAAATATTGTTTAAAGCAAGCTGGAAAATCTTAGTAAGAAAAGTACCTATGACAAATAGCTACTTTGACTATCTTTTTGACATATTTCTCTAATAGATACTTGTGAATGGACCCTTACGAGAAAAAACACTCACTCCAAAATGTTATATTCTACAGATCTTTCAGTATATTTTGATAGAAAATTAGACACACATACACACCCAAAAATCACAAATGGTAACAAGCTTTCAAGGGGAAAAAAAAAATTCAAACCTAAAGCCAACTTTCTAAGTCAAAATAGACAATGCAGGACAAGGTGATTCTTTGCAAAATAATCAGCTATTAGAAAAAAAATAATAATTCTGTCAGTCATTTGATAGGTGTGACTGACTGACAAGCTATTTTTTTGTTGTTCCAAGGATAAATTCCTGTTATCTGGAAAAAAAAAAAAAAGCTGTCTCATTAAGTGTCACAAAACAGTTTGAAGGGTTTAAGCCCTGGTAAATCCACGAACAGACTAAAATGAGTTGCTGGAATATGTTATCTACACTCCCTATTTTTTGTGCCTATGCTATACCATTGATTATATTATTTACTGAGCAAAATCATCATGGCCTCATAGGAACAAATTCTGTCCACGACAAAAGTTTAGAATATAGCTTGTAGGTGTTTTCCAAAGGGAAGAAATGACAACACAGGTATTCAGGTTATCTTGGCCATAGTGTTAGCAAAATATGTGGAGGTCCTCTTTAACCATGTTCTGAAAAACTAATACAAGTGGATTTTAGTATTTTTGTTTGTTTGTTTGTTTTGTTTGTTTGTTTTTTTGTTGATTGGTTGGCTATGTGTTGTTTGTTTTTAACTCATAGTTTGACATGCCAAAGTTGAAGCATTTCAGGCTTTTAAAAAATTAATCTGTTCAATTTCCTATTGTTTTTCATTGCATAGCCTTAAAATCCTAATGACAACTGAGTTAAATCCTCATTTTGAAAATTCACAGATATTTCATTAGAGTCACTTCCAAGGCTGGCAAGAGGAAGGATTTTGAAAGGAAGACAAGTTATGTTGGTAGCCTTAGTCTGCAGTTTTAGAAACCGTGGGTAAAAGCTGCACAAAGAAGGAAAAACTCTTCTTCAAGCTCATTTGTGCAGATGACACAAAAATCTGACACACTCAAAGTTCTATTTATAAATCCTCCATCTAAGCTGAGGACTTGAGGACTTGAATATAGCAGCAGAGAAATCACTTTGCTGGGCTTTCCTTGCCAATAATTTTGACACAAATATGCCTGCACAGAAGGTAAACCCTCTGCTTCCAATCTTTATAGAGAGTAGTAGCATCTTCAAACTAATCCCACACTCTGATATGATATAATCTATCTCAGAATGAAAAACAATCCTATGAGCACTATTACTTTGTTCAGGTTCATTCACGGCAATATTGCAACTGTTCCTGAAGGTATACATACATATATACATACATTTTCCCATTTTCCTTCGACTTTTAAAGTATCTAATGTTAATAGGCCCTATCAGTCTACGCAGCCCCGAAAAACTGAGTTTCATAGCTGATCTTACTGCAAACAGGAGGTTGGTCCAGAAAACTCCAGAGAAGCCTTCTAACCTGAATTGTATGACTCTGTAATACTAAAATAAATAAATTATTCTGAACTTAGAAGATTCAAAAAAGATAATCAATTATGAACATATCAATGGCCCAAGACAAAATTGGTCTCTCAAATATACAGCTCAGTACAATTATAAAGGAAAGTCTACTAACATAAGCCCATACTTATCAAACACACTTAGAGTTAATAGCATTCCTGTTAAAAAGTAATCTAAGTTATATTTTTACCTACAAGAAAGCAAGAGGATTTGAAGAGACATTAGTCTGTTATGTCATATTCCAGACAGAGTTCAAATGAATTTACTAGGAAAAAAACCACATACTTTCAATGTCAGCAGTGCTAGAACATCTATTAAAAGGTGGCTGCTGTGGCAAACATCACTGTTATCCCCACCAGCCTCTTATTCTAATACGGAGAAATTAATCCAGAAAGTGTTGCACTATTTACCTGTGTAGTTACAGAAAAGTACAGCTTCTTACATCTGATACCAAGGAGTACATGAAGAGGATACAGCCTTCTTAGACTAGCACATTGCTTATAGGGATCAAGGTATACTTGGAAGACTGACAGAACAAGAAGCAGCAATGAATGAACACCTGTGCTCAACCGTCACCAAAGAAGTAAGGTGAAATCTAGCTTTTTAGAAGAAGAAACAATGACGGCAACCTATCTCAACAGTTCAGAACCAAAGCTTTTTAGTAAGAAAACCACATACTTTTCACTGAAGATTCACTGAAGAATTCTAATCTGTTCTCATAAGAAATGTCTACTGTGGCCATAAAAACAAAACCAAACATATCCAAAAGAATTTTGAACTGAATAGGAAGTGAAACTTGGTGGAAAGTTTCCTTTTCATACAAACTTTCAGACTTGTTCCTATACAGAAGAAAATCATCATCATATCTGGAGGAAAGAAAATTTGAAAACACACGTGAAATGGAAATGTGTTGTTCTCAAATTGTCAAAGGCATTAACTATTCAATAAAATGTATATAATATGTTAAAAAAACAAACAAACAAACAAACACAAAAATGAACAGAAATAAAACAAGAAGACTTCTAATATGTCAACATCATTAAAACAATGTGAGAAAGAAAAAAAATAATTAAGATACTTCCCACCCAAAGAACTCACCAAAATTAACATATTGATTCTGTTTTGATTAAATCTCATTCTCCATCAGGATTTTTTTTTTTTTTCAGTAAAACTACTGAACAGAGCTGAGCAAACTCTTACAAAGGTAGGACAAACCTTCCAAAATTCCTACCAGGACAAAAGATTTAACAGAAGACTGTTTGAATCCTGATTACCTTTCATACACTTTCATTACCTTTCATTCCCTTAATTTTACCTCTTTTGAAGATAAAATCAGATTTTTGTGACTCTTGTCTTAGTTTGGTAGGGACAGAGGAGAAGGAAGAAAAAGAGGTATCAGTTTTGTCAACCTGTGAGCCATAAACATTAGTGAAGAAGTCAGTAACAACAGAGTGTGGGAAAACGAGGGAATGAGGAGGATTTTGTAGAAAAGTGGCTACTATCAATGTGACCTCTGCTTGGGATGAATAGGATCTACCACTGTAGGCCCATAGCCTTATAATTAGATACAGTCCTCTTGGTTCACTGAGCTTGATTAATTTCAGATTGGTACCTGAGGTAACAGTTTCCTCACAATATGAAGCAAGTGTCTCAGAAACTGCCATGAAATACTATGAGTTTGTCCTCAGCAGTTTCACTTTCTGAAATTCCACAGAGGAAACAGCTGAAAAACACTTTTTCCTTCCTTCTTAGGTTTTTACTTGCACGAAGCACAGATTTATCCCTCTCAGACTTCTGTGTCTCCTTCCATTGCATACACATGGCATAGGCAACCTGAGTTAGCTTGTCAGAGAGCTGTCATTTAACAGACACCAACATCTGCTCATTACCTCTCATATCAGTTCATTAGCAACTTTCATCAGGTCCCAATGAGCCAGATTTAACTTTGAAATTAGTCCTGTTTGAAGTAGGAGGATTGGTCTAGAGACCTCCAATCCCTTTTCATCTAAATGGTTCTACAGTTCAATGCAGAAAAGTTTTCCACAGAGTCTTAGGACCAATAATATTCTATTATTCTCTTCAGAGGATGTCTGAAGAAGATTGCAAACAATATATCAATATATATTGATACAGAAAAATATAAATACATAAAAATTGGAATTTGTGGGATTAATAATTTTGTGTATTTCATGTAAGTCAATGGTTAAACAGGTTCCCAAATAACATTTTTTTGTAAATGAAAATGCAATTAAATGATCTCTATTATAAACGTAGTTTTCTAACATCTTGTAACAGAACAGCTAATACTACACAGACAGTGATTGAAATAAAAGGTTTTCTAAAGATTTGTAAATACTTGTAACAAAATGTTCTTCTTAAAAATGAATCATAAGATAGCTACAAAAATGACCACAGTCACAAATGCAAAAAAAATAATCTGCACTTACAGTTCTATTGCCTTGTTCCACATGATGACATATCCAGAAAGAATGAAGGACTCAATATTAACAATGTGTGTATTTCCCCTCTCTGTTCCAACATAAAGCCATTTACTCTGGAAAGGTAGATGGCAGTAAGTAATCCTGTAAAGGAAAAACAACAAAAAAAAATGGACTGAACAACATACCAAATATGTAAGTTTTAACATTTTTACAGATGAAATAACTGTTCTTTCCATTTTAAAACTTCGGAGAAGCCTCACAGCAGGCACAGCATTCTGAAGAATGTGCAGTTGTTGGAGGTCATCTGCAGAAAAAACATAGAAGAGAACCTGTCTGTCTATGTGAAGGGCAGGGAAAAAGAGACATATCACTTAAGCTCTGACCTACATCACATTACCTGCATGAATAAATTGCACTATAATAGCATCCAAGACTCTTGAGCTAGGCTCTCCTATTTTCTTTTTTACTATAAGCAATTTTTCCAGTTCAAACAGAAGTTAATGGACATCAGCAGGATTAGTGTTTTGTACAACATATGTGTAACACCATCATAAACACAAGAAAACATTCACTTTCTTGGCTGTTTGGGAAAATGAGGCACTAAATTAATAGCATTACCAAGTGTAGATAAGGATTATATCATAGACATGTTGAAGCCTACATTTATATCGCTATTACAGGTTGATGAACCTGTGCTTGGAAATATTATATTGGAAAATGTTATTACAGTTTCTCAGTATAACATGTATACAAATTCTCACAGATATGACAAATGAATAGATTCACGCTCCTTTGATATTATAGTTATTATACACATATTGTATACATGAAGCAAAACTATCTACATGAGATATAATAAAACTATCTACATGAGATATAACCTGCTGCTTAAAGCTAATCAATTATGTGCTACTTCCATAGGCTGAAACGTCACCTGTTCTTATGGTATAGCCTAAGGAAATTTGAGAAAATCCAGGTATTTTGCCTGCTATGCTATACATTACTGTACTTAGCATTCAATTCCACAAGCAGGCTATTTCTAGCTTTTATATACAAGCTTGATGTAATGACTATGCAATAAATTTTATCCTTAACACCTCTTCCCCCCACAAACATGTAAGCAGCATTTACAAACATAAATATTTCAATTTTAATTCTTATGGTACAGCAATGTCTCAATTCATTACAGAAGAGTGAGAGGGTTGCTGGCTATCATTCAGTAATCTGACCTTCTCCAACATGTAATGTCCTCCAATGATAGCATTCAATCACAGAACCAGAGAATGGCTTGGGTTGGAAGGGACCTTAAAGACAATTTAGTTCCAACCCTTCTGCCACAGACAGGGATGCCACCCACTAGACCAGGTAGCCCAGGGCCTTGTCCAACCAGGGTCTTGAACACCTCCAGGGATGAGGGATCCACAACCTCTCTGAGCAACCTCACCACCCATTTACCAACCTTTGAATTAAAAAAAATGTTAGATATTAATCTAAATTTCACATAATTTCCTGTAATTGTTCCTGTAAGGTATTCTCAACAAACAAAAATATTCCAGCCAGACTCTGCACAGTACCTGAAAAGTTCTAATCTAATTCTAGATTCTGTTTAACCATGTGTCAGAATATCTTAAATTGAATGCATTTCAAGTGAGCAAAGAATATTCTTGCTTTATGCATCACACTGAGTTGAACAAACTAGAGATACTGCAGTCTTCACATCCTAATTTATGGAGAAAATTGTCATTAAATTATGAATCCAGCACAAGGCTTACCTTTCAAAGAAATCTACAGACTTTGTTCTATCCACCTGTACAGGACTCATTTTCTCATTAGCTACCTAATTTTGGCAATAATTCCACCACCTTTTGTGGGTAGCAAACCAAGTGTTTCCAAGAGAATTGATTTGAGAATGGAAATCACTCTTTAGCGTGCATAAATGAAAATGCCTTCAAGCAGCAACTTAGTATTTACATTATGGGTGCAGTTAGATTGACAAATGTCTGACAGAAAAAAATATGCCACCTGCATATTCCTTGCTGGAATTTAATCTGTTATCTTTATTATTCTGTTTGTAACAGTTGTGAAGAACACTTCCCCCTTTTCACTCTGTAGCATTTCAAATGTGAGGCTGGTTTTCATGACTTCCCTGATCCTTCTCTTTAAACAACTTCATTACTTCTGCTTTCTCTTTAGAGGCGCCATATGCTGGACTTCTGATAAGATTCACTTTTAGTCCAAATGTTTATTTCTTGTGTTTCTGTACCATCTCTATGTCTCTTTCTTGCACTCCAAAACATAAGCATGCTTTGTTAGGTTCCACCCCATGTGAAAACCTCTCTAGTCCCCGGTTGATAAATCCTCCTAACCAATTCATATTAATGATGTTCATTTACTACAAGTACTTACCTGTAGTAAACTGTTAAATTACAGGAAGATTAAGGGGAAAAAAAATAAACAACAAAAAAAAAGATTGGTGACTTTGAAAGTATTGAAAATGCAGCTGTCTAGGGGCTAAGAAATGAATAGTGAGTCACACAGTGAACCCTGGTTGACTTGAATACTGCTATTCGAAATTTTTGCAGCTGTGTCATCAGTCCAAACAGATTCAATTCTATCTAGGAACATACAGAATTTCAGTACTCTGATAAATCTATTCACAAGAAAGTACAGTGTACTGCAGAACACTCAATCTCTAAAGCACAAGACTGAATCCAATGACCTGATTATGAAAAGTCTCAAAATCACCTCAGACAATGTAAGACTACTTTGGTCTGCTTGTTCTCATTTTTGAAATTTGCTTCTAGTTTATAATCTCCAGCATGTACTGCCACAACAATTATCAGATCAAATGTGTGTCTAATTTCCCAGATATTATATTTCCTCCATTCGCCCACTTTGGGTTTAAGATTTCAAGGACATAGGGTTTCAAGAGCAAGGTCTTACTGTAAAAGTAGGATCGGACTAAAGCCCTAATCACTGGCCATCAATTACAATATTTACTTTCCTGCTTGCCTATCTGACAGCAGGAAATCCCAGACAGCAGTGACTACTAAGGCTATGTCATATGAAGAACCAGAAGAGAAACAGTTGTTGCTAAAGAATGAAGACAATGACCACAAATTTTAATGCAGTCTTAAACCCAGCTATTTCCTCTTAAATAATTTCATTTTGTTCTGATAAGATTTATGGGACAGGCAGATAAGAAAATATTCTGCATATTCTTTCTTCCACAATGAACACTGCCCTATGAGTCTTCCCTATTTTCTCAAACTACATTACCAAATTTCTCAAACACTTTACCAAATGCTACCTTTCACAACATGTGAGCTTCTAAGAAAATGCTATTCCCTTAAAGACAATCTAGTTATCTCAAAAAGAAAAATACAGAGCTATAAAAACTAAAAGCCAGTGCTCAGAACAGAAACATGCATTTAATGTAACCATTTTGAAAATTAAATGCATATTAGAAGATGGGGATTATGGGATTATTAGACATTGTAATATGATACTTTGTCAGGCTTCACCAAACAAAGCCATATGATTTTCATATCAGATAACTATACACCGCTCTGGAGTAGTTTCCTTTTACATTATGTAAATTAAATGCAAAGTGTTTTATGCATTATTGACTTTTTACTTTTACAGAAAACATTTACAGAAAATGTTAATTCGACTTCTTTGAAGCAAGTCTCAGATTTGTAATGAATGTCTTACATTTCAGTAAGTACTGAAATTATATACTTTCTTCAAAAGAACACAGTGATGTCTCATACTGTAGTTTTCATTGTGGATGGAAGGTGTCCCTATATTGTTTAGGGATATTAGTACGTCTCTATATTCCACAAGCAAATTAAAATGTCTTTTGATGCCCCTAAAAAAAAAAAACACACAACCAAAGAAAAACAAACAAAAGTCCTCAGCCAAGCCACCAAACCTAGTCAACTCACCAGAGAGAAGGAAAATCTATTTTTCTTAAGAAGGCAGTTTGCAGTGATTTATGCAAGTGTGAAGTGCTCCTGCCAATATTTAATCAGTTTGTCCATCCGATCAAGATAATATGGAACACAATTAAATGTAGACCTGAGAATCTGTTCAACATTGATCACTTATGGAAAGTGAGCCAGAATCGTGGATATTACACATTCTTAGCAGCAAGTCAGCAGCAAACAACAATCTGAATCTCATCGGTCATGATAAGGAGTAATAAAAAAACATGTACCAATACCTTGAAAGGTGTTCCCATGCTGCTAAAATGGTCTGGAACACTGCATCAGTTTTTCAGTGTATTCAACACATAAAGTAGGATATAAAATGTAATAATAATAATAAAAAAAAATCAACAGTTGACAAATTAATCACTTGAGTCAGAATATATTAAGCAAAACAATATTTAAATGTAAGTCCTGAGAATATTTCTAAAATTACAGAAGCAATATTTGAGAAATAATGGTGTATCATTAAGAGGCATTGTCAAAAATTTGAACCCAATTTTAAAAGGAAAGTACTCTGCCTAGCAAATCCTGAAGAGGTGTATTTTTCAGAAAATCACAGCACTCTACAGTCTAACAACTCTAAGGAAAAAAACTTCATTGCACATTGTTAGAATAATAAAATGCTAAAATAATTTAGACATCTACATTCTCTGAAATACTAGCAAAAACACTTAGATGGCTTCAAATCATCTTTATTACAATAATGATATTGTTCTAAGAAAAATAAAAGATGATTTCCAGAACATTTCCTTCTGTCTCTGTTGTGCTTTGTTTTTCTGTTTTTAATATGAAAAACTTTCCTGGAATACATTTCCTGAACAAGGGGTTCAGAAGGAGGTAGAAGAAATTGTATTTTTGTCAAAATGATAAGCAGTTTTTCCAATTGAATTACTTAATTGCTCATTCCTTGACATGAAAACTGCAGCTAAATTTATACTATGCCTCTTCCACTTTATATATATAATCTTAAATATGGAAAAGCAAAGAGTATGTGCAGCCCTTATGCCTAACACCGACTGGCAGAAGAAGGGTTCACTTGCTGTGCGTTCCTACTGAATCCTAAAATCAGCATGAATTCCCGCTCAGAAATCTAACAAAATAAACTCCACTGTCTGGGCTCTCTGAATAGATGGAAATCTCATGGATTTA